CCTAAAGAAGTAAAAGAGAACAAAGAAGAGAGGAAGCAAACAGAAAACAATAGGAAAAATATTAGACATACTCAGTTATATCCATATTAAATGAAAATGGTCTCAATAACAATTAGAAGGCAATGATTGTCATATTGGATTCTTTGAAATTAATATCCTATGGTATTAAGTCCACTTAAACATCAAATTAAAGAGAAAAACACAAATAGATTTTTTTAAAGAAGAATAGGGAAATGTTGCAAATTAAAGCCACAGGAAGATACCACCATAAGCCCAATTTTAATATCTATGTTTAAAAAGAATTAAGTATACCAAGGATTGATGAACACAACAAGAATCTGGAATTTTCCTGCTTTAAATGTCAGCATAAAATGATACAACCACTTTAGAGAGCAATGTAACACAGAGCCAAACATTCTGCTCTTAGATGCAGTAGCCCCCATTCCTGGTTTTGCTTCCTGCAGTTTCAGTTACACATAATACAGATAATAAATGGAGAGTGCGCACTTCCTGTTCTTTGAGGGGTCATTAGAGCTGCTCTCTGCTATTTTCACTGCCATGTTTTAAGGTTGGAAAGGAGAGTCCTTCATTTAAGTAGATATCTCTGTCAGTGTCCTCAACATCTCACTTTGGACCCAGGGTACCCCCCTTTCTAAGGGGAAGAGTGACCGGAGACAGCAGTAGCTGTTCTCATGACCAGCACTCCACTTGTGTGCCAGGAAGTGATCTTTGGCTGTTTCTCTCCACAGATTCAACTTTTGTAGTCAAGATACTGTGAGGGAGGACGTTCTGCTTACCCTCACCCCGTGTTAGTACCTGTTGACACATGACCACTGAGTCCTACTGCTAATAAAATCGACCAATCAACTAGTCCATTCTGTCCATTGTCATCACTGCTTGTTATTTCCGATGAAACTTCTGGATGGGTTAATAAGCCCAAAATCTATAGGAGCGTATGCAGAAGCAAGTAACTGGTGAATTTTGTCAGTCATATATAAAATATAACACTTGAGCCTGGGAATATTGCTAACATGATACCAATATGGTATTCATTGTATTACTCATATCATACTTACTACTAAGGCAGAACTCAATTCAAGAGAAAAAGCAGGTTGTTGGTAACCCTACCCTCAACATCACTCTCTGAATTAGGTACCTCTGTTATTCTGGATGGCTATGCTTACTGACACTGTTCTGAAACCATTTATTTGACCAGCTCCCTCACCAGATTACAAACTACTAGAAGGAAAGAAACGTATCTGTGTCAAAAACAATGTCTGCATATGAGAATGGGGTCTCAGTAAATTCTTGTTGACAAAGGCAATATGTGTTTAAACTTAGTTTGTATGACAAAGTGATCACGCTATTATCACTTAAAGAGACTAGGAAGGAGACCAAGTAGGATGTTGTGCTGACTGCAGAGCTGTGCTACTCAGAGAACTTGCTTTAAGAACAGAGTTAACACAGGCTGGCTGCCACCCATGTATCTATCATGACATTCATCAATGATCCTCCTAATTGAGCAAAGAAGGAATCCAAGTCTACTCTTACCTGAAAGAGGACTCCTGCTAAGGACTACCTTTTCTACGGACTCTCCACACTTGGCCAAGATGTTGTGTGTCTTCTGATCCAATATGTCCTTCCCTTCTCTCACTAAGGTTAGACCTTCACTATGATGTGAACTTTCTCCCTCCCTATTTCTGCTCTCTCCTCTCTTATTTCCACAGATATTTCTGAGTAAATCAATGTCTGATTCCATCTTTATGTTTTCTGCTCCTATTTTGAGACAAAACCAGTTAAAAAACTAAAAGAGAGAGACTACAAAAGATATAACAGGAGAATATATTCAGCAAGTGGATATAACAAGTTTAAATATATGAAACAAACACTATATCACCCCAATATGTAAAGCAAATATTATTAAGGACTATTATTAAGGACTGTATTAAGGACAATACAGTAACAGGAATATTAACATTACACTTTCATCAACAGACAAATCAGACAGAAAATCACAAAAGAAACATTGGAATGAAACTATGCTATTGTATTACTCAGCTTGCTACCGCTATAATAAAATGCCTATTCCGAGGCTACCTATGAAGAAAAGAGTTTATTTGGATCATACTTTTGGAGGTTCGAGGACGTGGCACCTACATCGACTCTGTTTTGGTGAAAACCCTCTCAGCCATGCCACGGCCTAGCAGATGGCAGGGGTGGGAACATGGGCAAGCATACGTAACTGTGTTCTGACAGGAGAAAGCCAGGCCTCTGGCTGTCATAGCAACCCTATCTTGAGAACTAATCAGGGCTCCATAAGAAATACTTTTGTTTCTTCTCAGGGTATATCCACAATCGACTTAAGACCACCCACTAAGCCTCATCTCTTAAATGTATTACCTTCCAATATTTCCACAAGAAATGCTTGAGGACCAACATCTAGAACATAAGACCAATTAGTTCTACTGCAAGGGTAAACATCCAATGAAAGAAAGTTAGTATATTAAAAAGATACCTGTACTATGCTTATTGCGGCCCTATTTAAAATAGCCAAGGTGCAACATCAATCTAGTTGTCTATCAGCAAATGAATGGATAAAAAAATGTTACACACACACTCACAAACACACAATGAAATATGATTTCACTGTTAAAAAGAAATCCTGCCATTTAGGGCAACATGAATGAATCTAAAGATGAAACAAGCCACATGTTCTCACATGTAAAAGCTAAAATAACATTGACTTCATAGAATTAGAGAAATGTCGAGTGGTTACCAGAAGCCAGAAAAAGGGTGCAGAGGTGTAAAGACATGATGAAGAGAATATGCTTAGCTACTACATGAGTAGTTAGGTAGAAGGGATAACTTAAATGTTCTGTAAGATAACCTTCGTGACAACAATGAACTAAATATTTCAAAATAACTAATAAGAGGAGCTTAAGTATCCCCAACACAAAATGATAAATGTCCAACGTGATGGATATTCTACTTACCATTCTCCATTCATTACATATACTAGCATTGAAATACAATGCTTTATATATTTTTCTTAACTATGTTTTCTCATAGTTAAGAAAATCACTCTGAAAATTAAAGAGCAAAAGACCACCAAACTTCTCCCATGTGTATTTCAGTGCCAAAAGCTGCAAGTACAGCAGTGGTTGGTTCAAGCAGGTGAAACCTTGTCCTTACAGTATTATATGGTAAATGAGAAACACCACTGCAAACAACAAAGCAGACAACTGAGAAAGATCATGATAGCTTGTGTCTCATGCTGCGAAAGAAGCCAGCAAGGTGCTGGGAGTAGAGGTCGACGAAACAGTGCAGTGGCCTGTAAAGACCTTACTGAAGAGGTGACATTTAAACTGCTGAGTGACAAGGAGTCAGCTCTGTGATCGTGTAGCATTTCAGACCATGGGAATAATAAATGCAAAGGCCCCAAGGTGGTGAAGGACTTGACCATTTCTGGGGAGATCCATGTAGCCTGGTGGAGGAGATAAAGTGGAATTCAGGAGAGAAGACATGCAAGAAGCAGAGAGGCCATTGAATATCTCCTGTCAAACAACCTACCTATCTATCACTCATTTCTTCCTCCCAAGTCTCACTTGTATCAAGCATTTCAATGTCAATTTTTTTAATCTATAAATCTTTTTTTAATTTAATTTTATTTTATTTGTGAACATACTGTACAGAGGGGTTACAATTACATGGGCAGGATAATGCGTACATTTCTTACCAAGCATTGCAGCCTCCTCCTTTGTTTACCCTTCACATCCCTTCCCAGCCTCCCCCCTCCCCCCTAATCTATAAATCTTTTTGACTTCACTGTCTTTGAAAACTGTTCCAGTATCTTCCCAGCCCATGTGAGCTGACTTTCAAAGCGTAACAGCTCATCTGTACCTGCATAGATCCCTAGATACAAATTTAGTGCTTCCCCTCCCTCTTTGAGTCAGACCTTCTTTTCTCAGACTTGTGGGAATATGTACCTGCCATTACTTTTGTGTATTTGTACAGATTAAAATATTAAATATACTCTGTCAGGTCAACCAGATGGCTCAGGTCTGCCTGAGTTCAGGGGAAGTCTGTTTTCTACTATGACTTATGCTACAGATGAATCTCCTCTAGTCTGTGGGATTGATGTTCAACAAATCTTGTTGATCACTTTCTCAATGTAGCAAGATGTTGAATATTCAACAGTTCTTGTTCCACTCTTGTGCAGTAGATCCAGATTCTACCTCATCATCTATTAGAGGTGTCACTTTGCAAGCAACTTAGTTGTCTTTCTGAGTCAGTGTCCACATCTGCAAAGGGAGGCTAAATGATGATACCTACCTGATGTGGTTTTTATCAGACATAAATTGGGAAATGTACATAAAGTGCTTAAATCTCAATACTTGATAAGTTGCAGAAATGGTCAGCTGCTACTCATTACTCCAGAAGAAAGTCCCTTCTGTTTCCTTAGCAAGAAGTTTCCTTCATCCCATACCCCAGTGCTTGGACTATTGTGAAGGATGAAATTTGACAGGGAAGCAGATTTCATTTAAGGTTGGGGTGCTTGCCTGTGAGGTCTTATCTGCCCCATGTGTGAACCTGCTGGCTGCTCACAGGTGTGCAGAGTAGATCATGAGCTGTGTCTGTCTTGCAGGTGTGCAACCTGCCCTCAGATGATCTTGGGAAATTCCACAGGCATGAGGTGGGTTGGTGATATGAGCTTCTGGGGTCTCCTCAACACTGTTTATTCAAAGCCTAGTAACACAGTACAATAATTACTACTTTTTTCAGATTGGTTTCTTGCAAAGCAATGGTTAACTGGAACAGGTAGTAACTGGGGAAACTGTGGCAAAGGTTTTTATGATAGCCACTAATCTTGTTTTGTGTATTTGTACAGATTAAAATATTAAGTACACACAGCATATGCTATCATCACTCACTATGTTCTTGAAATAGAGTCTAAATGATAAGGCTGGAGTATATAAGGCTGGAATACTGGGGTAGAGAGTAGCCGAATCGTCAGACAGGGTAAGCTACTTTTGCATTCTCTCCCCCGCCAGCTGAGAAACAAAATCTTTGCTTGTTATCTGTGATAATTTGGTGAGGCTGAGTGTGTTTGGCTCTGTTATAGATGCTGATCTTCTGGACAATCACACTTTTCCTTCTGGGAGCAGCCCAAGGTAAGAACCACCACACCTGCCCAAGCAAAGGCTATAAAGCCAACCTCTTAGCACTGGCTGGAGGAAGCTTTAGACCAGCAGCTCTAGGGGCTCACACTCTGCCTGGGAAAGTGGGCAGGGCAGTTGAAGAGGGACTTCCTTAGAGTATCCCCCCCTCATTTTCCTACAAAGTCATTAAACACCTGGCAGAACATCTGGAAGCAACTGACATTTGCAGGCATTAATAATTGCCTGGTTCTTGTATTGACTCATCAATGCCAATTATCATGTTAGTCAAACAAATGTATCCGAACTTAGGAGAGGACTCTGAACATTTCAGCTTTAAAGGCAGTTTGAAGCAAAGTCCTGGTGGGTTTCTTAGTGGAATTCTACAAGGCTAGTCTAGACCAACCTGTAGACAGTAGGCAAGAGGTAGAGTCTGTGCATCTCCTGTCTGCACACTATTTTCGGGCAGAAGAAAGACCCTGGGCCACAAGGACACCCCAGAGCCTGTTCTTAGGAGCGAATGCTTAAATAGATCCCCGCTTTCCCCTCAGGAAATGAAATTTGCTATGCGGATCTTGGGTGCTTTTCTGACATTGAGCCTTGGGCTGGCACTCCAATCAGGCCTCTAAAGCTTCTCCCCTGGAGCCCAGAGAGAATCAACACCCGCTTCCTACTCTACACCAATGAAAACCCAAACAACTTCCAGGTGAGACGCCTCCCGCAATAACATTGCTTTCACATGGAGAGAGCTGGGCAAGTGGAACACCAGGAGCAAATTTTTCAGTTACCAAGACTCCGGCTGCTTATGTGGCCTGGTCTGGGCATAGAGTTTACTGTACAACTAGAGCCATCAAGAAGATGAGCCTGTGAGACATAACCCAAATGCAGTGTGGGGAGGTGGGGCGGGGGATGGGAAGACCTGTGGAGATTGAGCAGGAAAAGGGAAGTCAAGGTGGGCTTCATGCAAGAGGTGGCTTCATGCTAGGCTTTGAAAAGCCAAAACATCCATACAGAGATGCAAAGGGGAGAGATGGGCTTGTGGAAAGAAGCGGCAAAAACATGCTGCGTTGCGTATGTTGCAGATTCTTCGTCTCTCGGATCCATCAACGATTGAGGCATCGAATTTCCACATGGACAGGAAGACTCGCTTCATTATCCATGGCTTCATAGACAAGGGAGAAGAGGGCTGGGTGGTAGATATGTGCAAGGTAAGAAGAGCTGGCTCTGACCCCTCCACTGCCTTGCCACGTCCCCTCGGCCACCGTACCACTGGGGCCATCACCTCCCACTGATATCTGCTCACTTGATGGAATCTCAGTAAATGAACTTGAGAACAGAAATCCTTCCATATTAGGTCACTTTGTGCAGTCAAAAATGCCTCCCTTCCCCCAAAGCACAATTCTTCCCCTTGTTTCTGACTTCTGTATTCCACCTGCCACTGGAGACAGGAGCATTTGCTATGTTGCCAGGCTCCTGCTGTGTCTTTTCGGGCTAAACCAATTTGCAGTGTTTTGTCTTATTTTCAGCAAGAGATACTTATGTTTTTGCAAATAAGGTTTATATCCTATTGCTCTCATCTTCTCATCCCAGAAAGTCAGATACATGTAGCTGTGACAATTTATTTTCTGAAACACGGAGAACTAAGACTGACAGGTTGATTTAAGTGACGGAATAGAAAGTACCACAATTAGAGGGCATAGGGAATCTGAAGAGCCACAGAAGGACATAGGCATGCGCTCACAAAGGCATGCATGCACACATGCAGACACAGATGTCCATATAGATAGGCACACCCATGCACACACACATGATACCATCCTTCTGTTCTTCTTGTAAATACACTATTTCTGTCTATAATACCTGATGTCTCCCCAACACCAGAACATGTTTGAGGTGGAGGAGGTGAACTGCATTGGTGTGGACTGGAAGAAAGGCTCCCAAACCACCTATACACAGGCTGCCAACAATGTGCGAGTCGTGGGTACCCAGGTGGCACAGATGCTCCACATCTTGTCGGTGAGTGTTTCTGTATAGAGCTTCTGGTCTCTCATGGGTACATAGATTTCAAAAAAGAAAACACACAACAAGGAATGTGATCCAAATCTTACTTCTGGAAAATCTAATCATTGCTTTACTGACACACTAGTGGAAGAGAAAGCTAGTAAGAGCTAACTCTTAGTAGGTAGGGGCTTTAGTGTGATTTTCAATTCCTTCAGTAGTGATACCAGAGAAGGAAGTTACTTTGTCTAGATGTTACTGAACGAGTAAATAGGTGGACTCCAGGTGGGGCAAAACATGGTGTTGCCAACCAAAGCCAAATGGAGCCAAAAGACAAGACATGCAATTGGCATGTGCCGGCTTTGCTGGCCTGTGAGCCTGAGGGCCTCTAGTGTAATTGTATAAGAGGCACAATTGGCCAGTCAGAAACATTTGACAAACAGCCAAGCCCAAGGTGCCAGCACCTTGTAGCTTTATTTGCTTTGCTTTTTGACCCTGTATATTAGTACAATCTCGAGAGATAAGAGTAGAGAAATAGGGGCTGGGAAGGTGGCTCAGTGGTAGAGTGCTTGCCTTGCATGCATGAGGCCCTGGGTTCGATTCCTCAGCACCACATAAGCAGAAAGAAAAAAGCCAGAAGTGGTGCTGTGGCTCAAGTGGTAGAGCGCTAGCCTTGAGCTGAAGAGCTGAGGGACAGCGCCCAGGCCCAGAGTTCAGGCCCCACAAC